ATTTAGAGACCTATCTTTATATATGGGTTGTGACCTACTCTCATGTTTTTATAGTAAATTTAAGTATCGAAATGGTATCAAAGTGGTATCGTTAGGAGCCCTAGTAATATGGATTAATATTTTTAAAAAGTATTAAAACTGAAACAATAAATTAATAATGGTATTTATCAAAATTATGTAATAAAACTTCTATTTATATTTATAATTTAATATAACTTCTATTATTAATATTGATATAACTTTTATTATTAATATAAATTACTAATCAATACTTTACCAAAAATTTCAGTTTAGTATTTTAGTTTTAAAATTAATATTAAAACTGAAACTAATAAATTAGTAATGATATTTATTGATATTGATTAAAATCCTAATAAAAAAATTTAAAGATATTAGAATAATTAGAATAAAACATTAATTTATTATTTTATTGTTTCACTTTATATTATATACATATGATTTTTCAAGAACTAATAAGATTATATATACTTTTTTAAACGTGTATATCTACTTTATTTATATATATATAAGCTTTTTTGAAGAGAAAATAATAGAATTGTCTGGTTTTTTTTATATTTAATAAAGTTTTTCTTTATTAATTATTATAAACAATACCTTGTTTAAGACTTTTTTAACATAAAATATTATATATAGTAACATGAAATATTATAGCTATAAATTCTTATTTTATAAAAATCTTGTATCTAATGAATATTATAACTATAAAAAAAAAATAAAACTGTTTATATATGTATATGATCCTGAAAATTGGAATTAAACAAACTTGTATAGACTTGTATGAGATTAAAAACACTATTAAAAATGATAATAAGTTATAATTCATATATTAAATTTAATATAAATTTAAAAATTAAGAATTAAATAAAATCAAATCATTAGGATCCTATTATACTGTATATATAATATAGTTACAGTATATACAAATTATAAATTCTATTATTAGAAAATTAAAAAAAACACTCTTCTGATCATATCTGTTTTGTTAAAAATTTTTCTTTTATAGTAATTTTAAGCAAAAAAAATGTGTTACATTCTTTATTGCAAGTGAGTCCTAGCTCAAGAACTCAAAAATCTTCAAAACAACTGGTACAGTAGGATAGGACTTCTGGTCAAAGTCTATTCAAGTTTGAGAGTCTTGTTTATCCTTTGGTTATATGAGGAAAGGCTCATGGTAGTTCTCTTTTTTTCAGTTCTCTTGTATCTCTCTTTACCTTTATTATATCATAAAAACTATCTATACTATTACCATTATATTTGCTAAATCAAACACTTTCCAAAACACATTGTCAAATAGAGTTAGTAGGTTTACTGTTTGTTTTAAGTCAACTTACACATACAATATTCTTGCAATAATATTTGCTGTGCCTAAAGATGGGTTCCTAAATTAAAGACGAGAACATAATTCAAATGTCCTTTACTATTAAAAAAGTTTTTTTTAAATAAAATTTATCACTTTCATAATTGATTGACTAGCTTTCAATTCATGTCGTATTCAATCAGCTGACAAATCTATCTCCAAATCTAGTTAGGCTGCATGAAGATGAGACCTCTGGTCTTCCTGACGATCATGAGCTGAAAACAGGTTGAAGCAAGGAAGATTGCATAAGAAAAGGCTTCTGGTCTAACTTCAGTAATAAGTCCACAAACTCTAACCCAAACTGGTGACAGCAGACTCCATTACACAATATAAAAAAGTTAATTCTAAGCTGATCTATCCTAATCTGAAGCTTGTAGATCTATTCCAATGGTAGTATTTCACAGAACTTAATTATATGGCCGATGGATAAGACATCAACCACAGGTGGTAAGAAGACTAGACAAAAATCATTAAGTCAAGTGAGTCTAGTGAGGATCTACAAGATTAAATCGGAATTCAAGCAAGGACACCAGTTCCACAGGTAGTAACAATGGTAGTATTGTGTTATACTAATAGTACATCTCGAGGATTGGTGATAACAGGTAACTGGAATGACTAGGATTAATCTCAATAATAACATTCCATACTATACTGCTCTCTGCAATATGGACTTAGTAGGTTAGGTGGGTTTAACTAGTGGCAGGATTCCTTTCCTATGAAAAGTTCCACCTGACGTGTGGGCACATCTACTTGATATTTAAATGTTCGCATAGTTTGGTAATAGTGGTTAGTATAGCTAGTCTTATAGTAATATAGGTACTAGGCAATGTTAATCAGCAGATTAACTGTAGAGACATAATAGGTATTCATATATCAACTGATTTTTCGATTAATTTGTAGAGACACTTGGTGTCTGTCTAAATATTAAATATATCAATAAAGATCATATGCTATGTGTACGTTTCACTATATAAAAAAAAAAAGTTTTTTTTAAATATAAGGTCAAAAAAAAACTACCTGCAAAGGTTTTTTGCAATTTAGGCCACTTAATCCAAGTGTTTTTTTAATTATGTCCCTATTAAAATAATGAATAAATAATTATGTCCCTTTAAAAGAGATATAATTGATCTGCGAAATTTTATATGCTAAATAGTTTAGGGACCCATCCTTAGCTGCACCACTTCAAAAGCTTAAAATTTTTTTAAACAAAAAATTGAAATCAGTTTATCTCCTCAAATAATTAGCATTCTTCAATCATCTAATCAGATTTTATATAAAAATCAAAACAAAAATCATGCCAGTTCAAACCGGTTTTGTGCCACAACAACAACTTTAACAACAAATAATATTATGTATACTCTACTATCTATAGTAACCAAAGAGCTGGAGAGATAGGACAACAAGCCTATTCGGGGGTTCTCTCAGAGAAATAATTGGTTTTCTACTTATAGATCTTATAGTCTATTTAACGAAATTTTAGTTTTAGTTACTTTTAATTTTTTCTTCTTAATTTCTTTTATTCAAAAAAAAGATTTCACCAAACAATCTTTCGAGTAGATAGGCATAGCCGCTACTCCCATATTTGACATTTTAATATTGTTTTTGAAATTTTTTATGATATTAGTTAAATATGATACAAGTAGGCAAACTAATATTTAACTTGTTGTATGCAATGTATCCAAAAGATGTTGTTTCTTTCACAATGTATACCTTGCTATATACAAATCAAATAAAGAGATGATGTTTACCTATTGAAATAATCCTCCCAAAAAATAAATAAATAAATTCTATTATTAGAATATTGGGATAAGAATAAAAAAGAGTAAAAATATAAATATAAATAATTATTTTTAAAGGTAAACAAGAAATTTTCTGATATGATTTTAAAATTTATATTATATATATATTGTTTAAAAGTTGAATTCAAAAAAATTATATCTAATATTTTTTTCACTTTCAATCCATATATATATTAAAATAAAATATTAACATTAATTTTGAGCAAAAAAATAGCTTAAAACATTAATGTTGACTTATAATTAACAATAAAAAGAAAATAATCAAACAAATTTTTGTTCATGATATCTTTTTCAAGAACATAATAATTGAAGTTTTATGACAACTTCAAGATTACAATAATGATTGAAATAAGCAACATATCAGAGTATATTGGAATAATCACCAAGCTAAGCAAAAAAAAAATTCTAAAAAAAATACAAATTAATTAATCATAACTAAATTTATTGCCATATGACATATGACCATCTTGTATATATTGTATACAGTATATTAAAAAAATATTAAAATATTAAAAAATCTTAAATAATTATATATTTAATAAAATTTTTTAAAAAATAAAGTTATATAATTTATATTTATATTTAATAAAAAGTATTTATTCTAATAATTAAAAAATTTTTTTTATTTTAAATTTATATTATATTATGAATAAGATTTCAGCAGGACTGTTATGAAATAATCGTTAATTTTTTTTTTCAGGTTCCATATACACATATTCTCTATGTTCAATATCGACCACACGAAGATTAAAAGAAGCATTTCTATGCTCATATACGTAAATAGTTATCCCAAATTTTAGTACATAATGCGCTAACTGATTCATTCTTAAAATAGAAATTCCGTTCAGCATACTTTGATATCCAAAAAACGCATCAGTAGGAATGAATTCCTTCAGCCAGTCACGGCGAAGCACGAAAATATAAAGATCTCATTAGCAAACTCTTAAAACAACAATTTGACAAAAAAAAAAAAAAAATCTTTAATTGACTTTTCAAACACAGTGCTTCTCTTTATTTTATCGGTGTTTGGTATGTAACTCAAGTCGTCAAACAACAACTTGTTCAAGAAATCAAAACTCGTAGTGCTTAATTCACTGCTGAACTCGCCACTCGTGATGCCAAATTCAATGCTGAACTTATCTCACATAAAGAAAAGTTTGTTGCTAAGGATCGAAGAATCTTTATATTTCTTAATATTATTATTGCAAGACTTGATAAAATCGAACAAGTTCTTCAATATACCATAACAATTTTGGTAGAGTCGAACCGAATCTATCGAAGAAACAGGTCAACCCGAAGCCTCTTATTCAAGCCAAAAATCATTTTCTGATATAACTTTGGAAATCTGGAAATTCTTGGTCTTGGAGTAGGAAAGATTGGTAAAGATACTATAAAAATTTTTATCACAATAATGATGGCGATTTCGGAAGAAGAACATTAAATAAAATAGGTACTTGGATAGATAGCAAAACAAATAATAGTGAGTAGCAGGAAATGAGCTGCCATTCTCGCTTTGCGAGGGGGTCTAGGGCCGGCTAATTCCTCCTTTTCAATCCAGCTTCTCAATTCATTTTTAATTAGCCGGTTCCCTCTTGCAATATTTTACAAGAAAAAAACAAAGATATATGCGTGTAAAAAGTATATTTCTGGAGAAAAGTGCTCCGCCCCCCCTCAGACTTATTTGAGAAAAGTGATCGGCGTGAACGCGCACGTGATTTTTGTATAATTAAGTCACTTATTTACGCGTGTTGTTTGTTTTCTATTCATGTCTGTCTTTTTGTTTCCCTGTTACTTTTTCTCTTTCTTGCTTTTCCAATATCTTTATGTTGTCAAAAGAAGTCTCGTGTCAACTTCGATATCCTGATTATTGGGAAAGATCATATTCACAATGGAGGGTGGACACCTGGAATCAGTTTTTCTGTAAAAAAGTTCCCGGGACAACAAAGCAGATGTCATGCGATGCTCTAGTAAAAGAACTAGAAATTCTGATCAATAACTTAAAGCCAAGATCAAAGGAAATTCGAAAAGCATCATGGTTAAAGCGTGAACTAAAGGTAAGTTTAGCGAGAGTGTGAGTGTGCTACGCCCTGTATCTGCTTGTTACGGGGAGGAGCGTCCTGTTCATATAAGAACCTTTTCTTATATGCCGTGTCGGGCACAACCCGCAACATAAGCTAATAATAGGTTCTTCGTCTACTGATTCCGGAGGAGGAACCGGTTATGAGGATCTTACTCACAACTTACTATGTAGAGGCCTAGCAAAAAGATCAAAGGAAAGGCAAACGCCGGCAAAGGAAAGGAAAACGTCAGCAAAGGAACTTTAACACAGAAAGGAGAGCCTTCAAATGTGAGAGTGCTTCGAAAAGTAAAGCCTATAAATTATGCTGAAATTGATTCCTCCGATGTAGATGACATGGAGAAATATAAGAAAGTAAGTATTGAAGAGCTTCCAGAAAAAATAAGAAGTTTTTCTTCCTATAAAACCGTAGAAGAATTGAAAGCAGTGCTACGGCAATACAATATTAACGGTGAAGACATTATGAGCATTAAGCAGTTCTCTCCAGGTAAGTGCATATTTCAAATCCTGGCAAGTTAATATGCATAACTTATTTTTTAAAGTATTTGAGGAAATCGGAGATGAGGACAAAGCGCTCAATCATTGCATTGAAAACATAGAATTAAAACTAGAGAATGTAAAAACAATGACTGATGCCAATGAAGCCACACGCTGCGAATTTATTTCTTCTATATTGCATGCATCGGTTGCTATTATTAGAAGGCTTTTCAACGAAGAAATCGCTATAGCACTGCAGGAGGATGTTTCAGGCGAAGAAGCATCGGGACGGGTTGACTATGCAATCACGGGGAAGGATGGCTTTATATGTATCGTTGAAGGTAAACCATGTAATATAAAAATATGATATCTCCAAAATATTAAACAGCTTGAAAGTGCATACCATATGAACAGGAAAAAACGAATGGCGGATCGAGCACTTGGGAGCGATGACTACTACGACTATCTTTGTGGAATAGTCTCTACAGGTAGTGATGTTTCGGGTGTTGTGTTGAATTTTTCATAATCGATGTGTAATATTAACTCTCATTTCCCTGTTAGCTACGGATTGGCACTTCCTCATATACACCACCAATGGTCTATATTGTACGAGTCGTGTTGAATACAAAATTAATCTCTTAAAGACCAAGATGAAGGAAAATGTTGATGTACTCCGAAGCAATGTGAAAGAGGTAATCGGAATTATCGTTGGGTTATTAAAGGATAGAGTTCGCGTTGATAATTCTCCGGTTCTTAAGAGGGTCAGGATCGAGAAATACACAAGTAATAGAGTATATAGTTGATAGTATCAATACCTCGCATCTTCTATTATTTTTTATGTATGTAATAGATGTCATAAATATTTTTGTACATTATAATGCTGTCGCGGTTAAAATGACGCATATATGATCGATAACCTCGAAAAGTGATCGGTGTGACGAATCATCATGTGATTAGTAATGGGAATGACTCTATTGGTTCTGTTTTGGTTCTAAGGAATGTTATTTTAAAAGTGAAGTTAAAATCAAGTAGCATTTCACAAAATTATTAAGAGTGCAGTTGAAATTAAGTAATATATTTTAAGGCTAAGCGCATTACATGCGAAAATTATTACATAATTGATTAAATTAATACTTATTAATGATGCATATTTTATATATTTTTTTGATTTCATCTTATTTATTATTTTTTTTTTCTTATTTTATTATAACTAGTTTTTTTTATATAAATTAATTCAGACTGAATTTAGCTTGTATTAATTATTAATTAATTAATTTATTTAATAATATTTTTTTAAGCATATAATATTAATGTTTTTTGTATTTATCTTTCTTTATAATTTTAAACAATCAATTTATTAAATTAAATTTATAGAAAAATCAAAATAATTAAAACAAATTAAAAAAATTATATAAAAAATTATATTTATTAATAAAGTTATTAAACAATTTTAATTTATAAATTTGATTTTGATAATAAAACCAAGATATTAAATATATTAAATATATGCTTAAAATAAAAATAAAAATAAAATCTTGACCTGTAGATCCATAGTGTAGTGATTAATACTCCATAGGTCAAATCACAAGATACTAGTTTAATTCTATGTAAGAGTGGTTGAATAGAATTAGTATGGTAAGGATGGATTTTTAAAGTATTTAGCATATAAAATTTTATAGATTAATTATGTCCCTTTTAAAGGGACATAATTATTTATTCATTATTTTAATAGGAACATAATTCAAAAAACACTTGGATCAAATGATCTAAATTGCAAAAAACCTTTATAAGAGTTTTTTTTTAATAGTAAGAGACATTTGAATTATATTCTCATCTTTAATTTAAGGACCTATTTTTAAACCTGTAAAAGTACTGTTTTTTATAAGAAGTTGTTTCACATGTTAATCCAGTGGATATTAAGATTGTGATTTTCAGAAAAGGTGTTATAGCACGATAATCATCTGGTTGGTGTTATAATAATCACTAGAAATTGCAAGATATATGAGATATCTGTTTTTGACAAGTAGGTTTGATGATCACTTACCTAATATCTAGCATTTTTCATGCAAATCCCTGCCCTAGTATCATCACAATTCAGTAATAAACTGGCTTGGTGATACTTATCCTAAGAAGATATCTGACTATAAGTCCTGTTTCTTATAATATGTAAGTTAGTATTTAGGTGATAAGCACTAGTTGTAAGTATCTTAAACATTCTTGAGTATTGGTTGAACAGGTAGAAAATTAAATAGTTAATCTAACTATAGGTGGTAGTAAAAGAATTTATCTTTGATGAAGCAAGCAAGAATTATATAACTTTATTTGCCATAGATATTACTCCTAATATCTCTTTTTAACTTTCCTTTAATTCTTTCATGGTTAGAAATAAAACTTAACTACTAATGAAAATATATACTATTGGTTAAACAAAGAATTCCTTTGTTCAGTAAATTAGTCTTTATACCTAATATAGTTAAGAACAAGCTATAGCAAATATTGTTATTGTAAACAATCCCAATAAGTATTGAATATAATTGACAATCGATACATTATAATATAGTCTTAGATAGTAATGTCTTAAGATATATATAAATATTATTATAAGAAAATTAGACAATTATCACTAGTACACTTTAAAAAAAAAAATAATAAATAAAAATAAAAATAAAAACAAAATCTTTAACAAAAATAAATTTTGTAAAATAATATATAATTATTTAAAATTAATTAATAAAAATTTTTTATTTTTTTATTTTTTTAATTGGTTAAAAGTATTAGATATAAGGTTTTTATTAATATATATTATATTTAACTAATATATTAAATATTCTTACAAGCTAAATTACAGCTATTTATTATATTATTATAAATACTTTTTTATACTTAATTATTTAAAATTGTAATAACTAGTAATTATCAAAGTACTATATATTAAAATTTTATATATTTTTATTTTATTTTGTAAGAATTATATAGGAAAAACTGTGAATATGAATTTTTTTACTAAACTAAAATCATTGATTTTTTTGATTTTTTTTACTAAAAATTTTATTTTAATATTTCATAGATTCTCTTATAGCTTCTAGGCAAGTGGTAATATAATTCAACATACTTATAATCAGCTAACAACAAAACTTAAATAGTATGTTATTCTATATCTCTTGCACAATAATATTAAATTACTGAAAATTATTTGATTTCAGCT